AAAAATAGAAACATTATCATATGTCAAGTACGAGTATTCCGTAATTAGCCAAGTTAAAAGTGATAACTATTTTTAATTTGCATGATTAGGAGATTTGATAATAAATGGACTTATTCACTATTATTCACTTTTAAATTTATGATATATGACTTCAAATCATAAAAAAATTAATTTTTAAAATATTTTTTTGTAATTGCGAAAAATAACATAAAACATATTTTAAATATAGTTCTATATTATACAAATTTATTTAAAAAAATATAGATAATGTTATGTAGATCATATGTTATATGAGTTGTCAGTTAGATCTGTTCCACTTTGTATACAGGGTGGCCCACCATTCAGTGACAATTTAAATAACTTTTGATTCAGTTAATATTTTTAGCTGATTTTTTTTTTTAAGCATTAGTTAGACGTTAGGTCTATAGCTATATCTCAATAATTAATTTTTTTACATTTTATTAAAAATATTAATTATTTTTAAATTTTAAATAAAATGTAAAAAAAAAATCTAAGATAGCTATTTTGTAGAGTAGAATTTAAGAAAAATTTTAGTAAAAAAATATCTTATTAATATTCAGTAGTAAATATTCTGTAGCGTTTTGAAGTTTGTAAAAATTTGAATTTTCATGTACTATTTTACGGTTATAAACATTGAAATACGTATTGAGAAAAGGACAGAAGAAAACGCTATCTTTTCATGATTACTGTGTATACATATGATGATAGTGTGTATACATTACAAACTTGGCATAAATACCATGATAAGAAATTAGATAAGGCAATTATTACTTATCACTCTCATTCAAAAGTATATTGAAAAGATAGCGTTTTCTTCTGTCCTTTTCTCAATACGTATTTCAATGTTTAATACCGTAAAATAGTACATGAAAATTCAAATTTTCACAAACTTCAAAACGCTACAGAATATTTACTACTGAATATTAATAAGATATTTTTTTACTAAAATTTTTCTTAAATTCTACTCTACAAAATAGCTATCTTAGATTTTTTTTTTACATTTTATTTAAAATTTAAAAATAATTAATATTTTTAATAAAATGTAAAAAAATTAATTATTGAGATATAGCTATAGACCTAACTTATAACTATTATTTAAAAAAAAAATCAACTAAAAATATTAACTGGATCAAAAGTTATTTAAGTTGTCAGTGAGTGTTGGGCCACCCTGTATATAAAAAAGTCGATCTTCGAAATTTTAATGAGAACCATTTTAACTTTATTTTATACATTAAAATAGGCATTTTTTGTAGATTTGAGATTTTTAAAAAAACGTTTACTGGTCGCTCAACGTGTTTTTAGTATTTTGACCAAAAACAGCCCAAAAAATAAAAAACTGCCTCTGTTATTCAATTTTTGGTCAAATATTATGATTAGCATCAGGGGCGTCATTTCAGTTTTTATTTTCGGTGTGCGAGATTTCAAGTAGACCATTTTGAAATTTCATCAGGCCATATAAAAATAGATATATCTACTTAAATTATTCTTCTTTTAATTTTCCCATAGATTATGAATCACAATCAACATAAGTAGTAAATATAAATTATAATAATACTTACTATTTTAATATTGTATAACGTAATGTCGGGGGTCGTAGCAATCCTTGAATTTTATATTTATCAGTTCATTATCGTTATCAATTATTGCTGTTAACTCCACGGCAAAAAAGTGGTGATAAAAACGGTAGTACAGTGGGGTCTCGGCACAGTATGGAAGTGGCATAGTTGGGTCAAGTATAGATAATATCTAACAGTGATTGTCATAACTATCATAAGAAACGCTTTGGTGCAAATCTGTATATAGTGTTTTATTCTAAAAAATTGGTAAATTATTCCAAAAGTAAAATTAAATCTTATTTTTTGTTCTACATTGACTGCCATTTAGACATGGTAAATAGATCGTCGGTACAAATTTTTTTTTGTTGAACTTCTAGTATATAAAATAAGCCCTATTTTAACATATATTTAAAAAATTCAGTATTCCTGGAACATTTTCAAAAGTTAAGTTGAAAAAGTTTGTTTTTATACAAAAATTCAAAAAAGCTTACTGTATACATTTATATTTAATATAAGTTGGATTCATATAAATTATATATATATTGGCTGACTCATTACTATGAAAAACCCTTATCAACCGCAAAAATTATCAGTATAATTAAATATAAAATATATTTAAAAAATATTTTATCATATAAAAGGGAATTACTTAAGATTTAAGTATAAAAAATTACTATTTTGATTTGTTAATTTTTCAATAAGTTATGGCAATTTTTAGAAAAATAAAGTAAATAAAATGTCTAAATTTGACGATTTTAAAAATCGTAACTTTAGGAACTAGGGAAAATGTTTTCAACTAAATAAGATTTGTGATCTTTTGATGTATTGTTGAGCAAAATAGGTCTAGTGAGAACTGAGAAAAAGTAATGACAGACACAAAAAAAATAAAAAATAAACACATCATGGTAAAATTAATACTTTCTCAGATTTGCATCGAAGCTAAAACTGTTACGAACATCAATATCAATATAAACATCTTGTGTTCGGTACAAATATCAATAGTTCAGTATGATATATTTATTGTTTCTCAATTGATTTTTACAATAATATTTGTTTATTGAACAATGATAATACAATGTTTTTGAAATTTGAATTAATGTATAAAAAATTGGTGCATTATTAATGCAGACCAATTGGGACTGTTTTTAAAGCAAGGGGTGCGGTGCACACCGTAACCCTCCCTAAATGACGCCCCTGATTAGTATATCAAATAATTTAACTTTTACTGTAGAATACAAATTTTTCAGTTTCAAAATTTTAAGGCAAAAATTGATAGCGTGGATATCATAATTAATGTCATTATATGGTATGCAGTTTGGTTGATATTTATGTATATTATAAGTAGAAAAAGAATTATTCACTTATCATAATTTTATTATATTCTGAAGTTTTAGTACTAAAGACTGGTTCAGTAATAAATAATTTACTTTCTTTGTTTAAGAAATAGATCTCTGAAGAATTAGCGATAGAAATATCCAAGACAGTATCTAATGACTATTTTTAACAATAGTATTTCTTTTTTAACATAATTCACTTATTATAGAAATGTTTTATTTGTGACACGATATTACATTTAGGTGTTATGTGTCATTTTTTTATCACACCTGTATTAATGGCTTTGAATAAAGATTTTGACTAATAAATATTAGTTTTTTGGTCACACTTTGAAAATATAAAAAAAATTAACTAAAACAGGACCGTTTAATGGGAGCTTTTGGCCAATTTTTTTTTTTTGTCGTGATTGCTATACGATGAGATTTGATCTTTGATTTTTCGATTATATACTAAAATTAAACTAAACATAAATTTTACTAAAAATTTGTGTGTTATAATTATTCACGTGTAATTCAAGATATAGACCAAAAATTGAGTTACAAAGACATTTATACGTACAAATGTGAAATGTTATGGCTTAAATTACAGTTAATATTATATAACCATTATTTAAATAAAACTAAAATCGTTAAAAAATTTACTATTAAAATCAAATAAACCTGTGGTTTCACATAGATTTGCTGATTTTTCATAATTTTTAATTAAATTAATACTGATGTATAATTTTATCATAACATAAAATAGTTCTTATGTTATTTATTATATTTAGTATAAATGAATTGTTTGATAAAAAAAAATAATTGAAAAGTATTTGATGATCAACCATCATATTATATTATATATTATAAATATTTTCAAGAATACCTAAATTGTTAGTTTTATACAATTTTACAACAATCATAAATATTTTATATTTAAATTTTTGATCATATCAAATCATGAACTAATTATCTTATGGTATAATACTGTAGAGTAGCTTAAAAAACTTAATAACACCCAAGCTAATTAAAATGAATAAAATTGTGTCATAGTGTCTTATTATTTTTGTATTTTGTAGTTCTTAACAAACAATAGTATTAATAATTATTAAAAATGTAATAATTAAAAAAAATTTTTTTTTGGTCAATCAATTTAAAAAAATTATGTATTTGAGATTTCAAATAATTCTGTTATTTGTAAGTAAAAATAAACCCATAAATTACCATTAATATACCATATTATTAAACAGCTGTTTAGTTTTATAAAAAGACAATTTTAAGATAAATACAATATATAATTTTACATTTACGATAATATATCAAATTTACAATTGTTGAAAACGTAAATAAAAAAAATATAATTTAAAAGTATTTAATTTAAGTATTTATTAATATTTTCAAGAATATTATATATTTTAGCTTACACTTTATTTAAAAAAAAAGTATAAGTTTTTAAGATTAGTGAATAATTTTTTTGTAACATACATAAATATCTGCCAAACTGCATTAAAAAAAAATTTAAGTTTGCTTGAGACTTACTAGAAATATACCATATAATGACATTAATTATGATATCCACGCTATCAATTCTTGCCTTAAAATTTCGAAACTAAAATATTTGTATTGTACAGTAAAAATCAAACTATTATGATATACTAATCATAATACGTGACCAAAAATTGAATAACAGAGGCAGTTTTTTGTTTTGTGGGGTGTTTCTGGTCAAAATACTAAAAACACGTTGAGTGACTAGTAAACATTTTTTTAAAAATCTCAAATTTTCACAAAATGACTATTTTAATGTATAAAACAATTATTATATATATAATAATTATTATTATATATATATATATATTACTTTTCCTTATACCATTGAGTTCTGTACTTAATGAAATAAGACATTGTTTAAGCGTACAAAATCCTAATTCAAAAGTTAAAAGAGCAGAAATGTTCATCACTTCCGTAAAGCACATCGTGCGTAGATTACTGTAAAATTGTGATTTCGACTTTACAATAAACAAACAATTAATGGTAAATTTATTGTTTTTATTTTTCAGTACATTTCAATTATCATTAAATACCCAAATAAATGAATTTCCGTAAGACTTACCTCGTGCAGGCGAGTAGATATTCAGGTAGAGACAATCCTCGCTCTGATTTTGCAGGTACGGCAACAACCGGCGCAAATATTGTATACGGCCACGAGCCATTGTTTTAAGTGCGATAGTTTCGTCGGACACGTTAGGTAATCGTTGGGGACACACCGGGCCAAACCGATCGGCTACCTTAACTCCCGACCAAAGTGAGCCGGTCACCGGCGGCATAAATCGCAACGACCCGATCGGCGGTGATGCATAGGGTACCCCTCGAAACACTTCAACCGCGTCTAACCGCCGGTTATCCGGTGTAACGATCACTCCGCTCACATCACCATACTTTGTGCGCACCACTCGGCTAGACGTTAAAGCCGCACTCACACCGCCGAACACAAAAGCCACCGGCAGCCACCAAGGCAGCACCATGACTTCTCCCTTGTTTGGGTTGCTGGCTGGTGGCGAGGAACCGTTTTTACACAATCAAATATTCGTTCATATTTCAACCAGCCGACTTTCTATCTGTAAAACAAAATATTTTATGACAATTGAATCGATTATTTCAGAAATCTTTTAAGTGCAAAGTTCCCGTTCTTAAAAAAAAAACTTTCCAAATAAGACAGTACACTTTATATTTTTAGTTTTCTTTTATACAATGCTTAGTAAAATGATACTTTTCGTTTTTTTTCTCAATATGTTTCTGCAATAATTTTTTTAAATATAACTTTTTAGGAAATTATCGCAACTTCATAAAATATTATATATGGATTTGTTCGTATTTTTTTACTGTCCACACATTCGGTCTAGTCGGTTTGATATTCCAAATAAAAATAAAAATTATTTATATTAAATTATATTTTTCCTGTCACTGGAACATCTCCTTCATATAACATTTTTATCAAATTTAACTATTTAAGGTTTAAGTAAAACAACAAAATATTTTTGATTAGTTCTAAAATTTTGATACCGATTTATGAGTCACATTCAACGAATAACGTTGCGTTTCTATTAAAGATGCCTCAGTCAACACTATGGTTGATGATATAAAAACTTTACGTTAAAATAAAACATAAAACTACATATCAGCACATATAATGAATAGAACGGGTATAAGTAGTAAAATCTGAAGTTCTAATAGACTAGATAAAATGTACCACTTGAACTAATTGAACTATTACTAACGAGTGGAGCTCACAAAGCTCGTAAAAAGGTATTAGGCGCTTCAAGAAAAAGGCAAAGAAGAAATAAAACCATCAAATAAAATATGAAAACCGTTTGACAATTGAGTTAGCCAATTCGCGTTAAACGTGACTATTGTTCTATGACGACAATACATATAAAAACTTTGTCAATATCGATTACTTACTAAAAAAAAAATCAAACTTTCCATTTATTTACATATATACATACTTCGATTTGAATTTTCTCTCGGCTCTCATAAAATAAATTTCTATTTACTTTTTTAACATTTAAATTGGTATGAGAATATGTACAGTACGTCAGTCATGATACATTTACTTTCTTTCCTGTACATCAAACTGTCAAGTAAAAACAATCTGATAGGTTAGAGATGTACAGCTAAAGTAATTTAAATGTCAATCAATTATTTATGTTGGCCACAGCTACTAAATTTTCAGTGGAGCGCATAAAAATGTATGTAAGTCGTTTTATAAGACCCTATTTGGAATAGTACTTAGCGTATCTTAAATCAATTTATTTTCTCATTTCAAGTTATAGTCTAGTAAAATATTAAACTATTCTCATTTTTATGATTGAATAATTTTGCATTTTAATAAGTTCAATGATTAAGACACTTTAATTATTTCGCTTCAGATGCATAGATATGTCCAGTACCACTGTAATGAACATGACAGTTTGTCATTTTGTCATAAAAAATAAATGGTTGAAATTAGAAACAAATTTAGGCTTTGTAGTAGTACATTTATTTAACGTGTATTTTTTATTAAATTCATTCCATTTCGAATAATTTTATATTAAAAACACGAAGAATAGTGTAAATGTTTTTTTTTTCGATCCGCAAAATTCTAATCCTATAAAAACTGCAATATTTTAACAGGCTTTTAAATAATATCGATCAATTGAAAATATGATTTCATGAGTGTTTAAAAAAATTATGTTTTCTGGTCCCAAACACTGCACTTATAAAATACTTGTATCCACTCTTTTTTTATTTGCGAACTGAATTTTGTGTGTTATGGTCCACTTAACTTAACTGTGTGTCCATTTAGACACAAAAAACATCATAATAATAGATCGCAACTATTTACCTTATCCCGAAAAGCTTAAAATTATATCGAGTAATTTTTAACCTTTAAAACTTTATAATTTTTATGTGTAATTTACTGAAATATGCAATGACCATCTCAGCAAACAGTAAAATTATAAATATTTTTTTAATTATATTAAATATAAATCAAATGACGTTAAAGAATTTTCCTCAGAACTTGTTTTCGCAAAACTTGAATTGTTTTTGAAATATTTATATAGTTATGAACAATAACGAAAAATGTGTACACAGTTGTGATGTAATTATAGAATAATGAGACTCAAAGAGTTGGTATCAAAGTTGCAAAGCCGACTATACTAATTGTCTGTGATGCGTATTACTTGTTATTCAGTGGACTTAAAAAGTTACAAATAACTTAATACTGTATTTGTTTGATTATTGCGCATGTACCCAATGAAATGTAGTACACTAATAAACTCTAAATACGCTTATTTTACTTTATTTGTTTATCAAAGACATACGGGTCGTATCATAAATCTAAATATATTTACTTTTAATGGAACCATTGGCGTAATTAGGAGGGTACGAGTGTCGCATCTCTCTGTGGTATAGATACAAATTTTTTAGCTATAGGGCGAAGTAAAAAAAATCTTTACGTATATCCCCCTCCCCAATACGAAACCCTAATTTCACCACTGAATGAAACTTTACTCATTTTTTTTTTTTTTATTAAACTTTTAATTAAATACAATGAGTCAAGTAAATATTTGGATATCGTCTAGACAATTAATTTTCCTCTCAAATCACTACCATCTTTCAGATTCTAAGCAATAATAGAGAGATATGATTAAATTGTCATAGAATTTGTACACGCAAATGGTGATATTTTAAAATAAAAATTGTTTGTTACTGTTATTCGTTAATATATTTAATAAATAATTATTGTCATGTCTATGAAATCAATTACTATTATAATTAAATTATAATCTAGGATTTTGTGTCAATATTATAATTTATTTCTTTTTTTGTCTCTTTAATAAAAAAAAAATTTGTTTTCATTATCTAAATTAATAGTTAAAAATACCAAACCAAAAAGATTACATTGAAAATTTCTAATTTTTTTATTAATTTACTTTTGAAAATAAAAAACTCTAGATAACGATACCCTAAAGGCAAACGAAATTTTCAAGAGGCGATAAATTGAAAACATTTGAGAAGAGTTTTTTATGTTGGAGTAATCAAATTTCCAGAAAAATATATTTATTGTTTAATTTCCCACAGGCATATTACGTACGTGTAACTGATTTACGCTTTGGTTATTTTCATAGCAAAACGTTTATACAATATTTTTATGCCCACAAGTTTTAAAAAGAATGTTGTGAATACACGATACCTTTGGAACTTTATGTTATCGTGAAGTTTAAAAGTTTATTCAAACTACCCAGTGTCCAAATGAGCAATCCGATGGAACCTAAAACCAAGCGAGCGTCATACAAGTAACTTCGGTCCACTGGATATCAATCCAAGAGTAATAGGTTTATGTTTTCCAACCAAATAAATGTTAGACAATACAAAAAAATATATATATTTTTTGTAAATAAATGTAATCGTTCTACTTTTTTTATGTGCACTTATATATAGGGTAGAGCAGGTTTAACTGACAACTCTTATAACTTTTGGCCCAATATTCATTTCGCAGTTGTTTTTTTTTTTATGATTGAAAAAATCTTAGACTATGGTTAATATGATCTTTCTTTTTTTTTTTTGTTAAATTAAAATATATACTAAATTTTTTTTTAATTTTTCCAAATTAAAATATAGCCGTTTTTAGAAATTTCCATTTATAGACTACGCTAAAAGTGTATTTTTTATTATATACTTTTAACTATAAAAAAATATATAGATTTTTTTTTTAATTTAAATATTTCAAAATTAAAAAAAATATATATTTTAGTAAACAATTTTAATGTGTAGAATTTCAACAATTGTTCAAACAATTGATGACAATTTTAGGACAAATAGTTATTAAGTTACAAGTACTTTAATATATAGAATGAGTATGTAACATCAACTCTTAACGGTTGTACAAAGTATACTCCACCCGCGTTTTGATACCCACTTCGCTTTGCTTGTAACTCAATAAGTATTTGTTCTAAAATTGTTATCGACCCATTAATCGTTTTTGTAAGAAGAGTGCTAAAAAATGATTATTTTAAAATGTTAAAAAAAACTATTGTTAAAAACAAATAACAGAATATATGATATTAATGTAGTCTGTGGATGCATAAATCATTTAAAAATAACAGCAAGATGTTAATTGTATTAAAAATAATAGGAGTTGTCAGTTAGATTTATTTTTAGATGACATAGAATTATATAAGAAAATAATAATATTGTTATTAAATTTTCTGATTGACAAAAATGATTAAAAATGGTTATTCAGAGTAAAAACTGAGCTGTACCTAAGTTTCATTTGTATACATAACATTCTTCAAAATATTTTAAAAGTTTTTGATAAGTTATGAAAACAAAATAGAAATACTAAAATAAAAATTAATTTTATCTTTAGCGCAGTTTAAGCATTCGCCAACTGTATAAAGAAAAAGGTAAGGTTTGATAAAATCCATTGAAAATATCGAAAGAAATAAAATAAGAAAGAGAAAAGGCTAAAATATAAGGTATAAAGTAAAAGAGTTCAACCAGAGAAACTAATGATTATGGCCTATTAAAAGAGACATGGAACAATGTAAAATTATATTGAAAATAGCAAGAGAAGATTATTGTAGCCTATTTCGGATGTGTAATATATAGTAGTAACAAGGCAATTTTACATATACCACCAATTGTTTAAATTCCAGCTTTTCGAGTAAGGATTTCAAAAAAAAGAAGCATCATAGCTATTTATTAAATATGATAACATAAAATCGTATGAAGATTTATGTTATCCTAAAAATATTTCATTTTTAATAATTATTATCAAAAAAATAAAGAAACCGACTTGAAAATATTCTTATGTAGTCGAGTTGTTTTAAAGAAAATTCCATAGGTTTTTAAACGAAATATTTTTTATTTTCATAGTTATATTGTAAATGAGCAAATAACAGAAATATTTTAAAATGTTAATAATTCACTAATAAAGTTTGTGCAATCAAAGAAACTCAAATCATATGAATTTTTAATTGGCGTTTATGTAAATTTTGCGGGTACCTATTTAGTCAACTCCGTTTACACCTTAACAATTTGTTATAACACTTTTGCACATTAGCAAAAAGCATTTTGTTATAACGTCATTATAATGATCGTAGCATCTGTATCTTAGTACATTCAATATTCAAGTCACAACTTTTCATTAATGTTGACTTCTCGGCTCCTATGAAAGCACTACGATTTGCATGAAATACACAGGTGGAAGTTTGAAAATGTAATTAGCGCCACCATACTAGTTGTAACCATAGAGTTTGTTCAGGTCATTCGTGTCCCCCATATTCGCTTTGAAAGGTTTTCGGGTTGCTAATATCACATGAACGAGTTGAAAGTTTTCCCTAAAAGTTTGGAAATATTGAAGTTAAGATACGTTTCAACTAGACAAGACACACAATTTGCCCATAGGACATTAAACAGAAAAACAAAATCAATACCTATACTTGAAATAAATAAATAAATATTTTTCAATAAATGCACAGTATAATACAAATTAAATGAAAATAATTTTTTAGTTTAATTAATAATGAAAAAACTTCTAAGAAAGGATATTTTTTTATTTTATCTCGCGCGTTAAATAAGTAAAAATAATTGATATTTTTAATTTAATTATTGAAAAAACGTTAAAATAAGAAAACTACAAAGTTTCAAACAGTACATAATGCTTAAAGATAAATTACTCGAAAATAAGCAGCTGAAAATATATTGGTAAATGTAAGTTGTGTTTTCAATGTTAAATAATATTTTAACGCGAATTTTATTCTGAACATATCATACAGTCATTATTAAACATAATATTAACTGCTAAAACAGACAATAAATTTAAATTAGAAATTCAGATTGATATTTCATGTTAAAACGTTTTGAAATAAATAATTATCATACAAGATTGATGAATAATTATATTCAAAAACACATCAATAATTATTTAACTCTCTAAAAGTATTATATAAATTTAAAATTAAAATCTTCTCTAAATTATTTAACTAAATTAAAAATACTTGAAAAACAAATATAAAGTAAATTAATTTACAATAACATTTTAATCGATAGAATACTACATGCAAATTAATATTAAATATTTTAATACGTCGTACAAAGTTTTAAGTTTTTTTTAAGGAAAACATGTGTAATTACTGTTCTATAATTTTTTTCTGGTAACTTTTATTTTTGAAAAAATATATTATAACTTCATATGACGCTAAATTCAATTATCCATAAAATATGTATATTAATGAAATATGAACATTACTGCCCGTTCTAAAATATTACTCTAAAGTTCTTTTTTGTTGCAAGTTGTTACTTGCAGTATCTTTTGAGGAAACACAGTCATACAGTTTAATTAGTTATACATATTTAAATTAATTAACATTAAGCTTAATACATGATTAGGAACCAAAATAATTTCGGTTTTACCAATTTTTCTTATATAAAGGAAATTCATTCATTTATACCGAATTATTTTAGTAAATGTTGAAAATTTGATTACAAGATCAATTTTCAGATTTGGTTAAAATTTTAAAAAAGATTTCATAATACTTTTAGTTTCTACAATTATTAACATTACAAATTCTCGAAAACAAATTCAATATAGGTCAACTAACTTATTAAATATAGTAAAAATGTTCAAAAAACAAGATTTATTGCGGTTCCCAGCCCTGCCTTTAAGCCTTAAGTTAAATTATGCTTTAAGGCAAAATTTCTATTTAAAAAAGAATAATACAAAACAGTTAGATTTATTGTAATAATTTCTTTATAATGTAAAAACGTTAAAAGAAGTTTTTATAAATTAACTCTTAAGCCAAGTAATTCTAAAATTGGCCAAAAAAAATCTGTAAAGCCTATTCATCAAGAAATGTTTTCGCCATGACAACATTTTTCGTTGTTTAGTTTTTCTAGACCATTTATTATAATATTGAACCGATAGTAATATATTTTTTTCTATATTATTGAATGCTAACATGCATATTTTAATATTAATTACACAGTTTTAATATTGTTTTATAAATTCCAGCATGAAAAAAAATTAATATGCGTATTTTAATGTTATAGGACCTATAAGGGTAAACAAGAGTTTATACATTTCATTTTACTCAATACTCATTTTATATTATGTTGATAAAATTATTATGTAAGTCAGATCGTTTTTGAATCTCAAAATATTCGTTCAATTTTCGTCTACATCAATGACTAAAATAAAATTTTTGTACGCGGTTTTTTTTAATATTGAAAAATATTACAAAATAAATATAATTAATGAATAACGAATTAACGAGTTTTTCATTCAAAAGATTCACAACTAACTCGTTAAGATACAGGTGTAATAGGAGATATATTTTTGATTAAAAATGTTTTTAACTTTTAATTTGATTAGTTTTAGTTTTAATTTGAGACTCAAGTTTCCACAATGTTAATTTATTACTTATTAAATTAACTTTGGAGTGTTAATATTTATTTATAAACTGTAGTTTTTTCTACACAACAAGAAATTGTTACTGAACTGTAATTCAATAGAATCTGAAAATGTATACGATATTTGCTTGAATTAACTTTATCTGGCATAAAATCGTCACAAATAAAAAACAACCTAAAAAGTATCTACATTCTTATTCCAACTCTAAGAACTACCATAATTACAATTGCACGCACGACAGATTGAATTTCTATTAGTATGGCATTCGGATCAGAATGTTTTTCAAAATGTTTCAAGTACAAAAGGTTCGACGACGATTCGAATAACGCATAACAAAAACCTGAAAGAGGATATTTTCTTGCAAGTTGGTTAAATGTAATTTTCAATAAAAATTGGGTCGAGCTCGAAAATACTGAGGTACTCGTTAATATTCTGTCAAAAAATAAACGAATGTAGCGAATCTCTAGCCAGTCAGCAGTCGCGTCGTAAATTATTATTTAATGTTCAGTTGATTTAACATTTCAGAAATGAACGACAAAGTATTATGCTGTTTTTTATACCATCAAATTATGTGTATAATATTATAGTCAAGCAAAAGAATCATGATAGATCCAACGAGGAAACGTAATAATAAAAGCAATATGAATTGAAATAGAGGTGTTTAATGAGTTAGTTAAAAGTATTAAATACTTCGAACAAAGACAGATGCCTACAACTAACCTGATTCCGTAATTACCAGCTTTGTAGTTTGATAATTTGTAGTACGTCCAAAAACAAAATGTTGCTAATAACAGCAGTATTGCAAACGAGAAGCAATGGATGAAGTTGGTGTTGCCAGTTAAACTAATTAATACCTATATATCTAAATTCTCAGGATCATCAACCACATTCCTATGTATTTTCTAAGTTGAGATCCCTTTTCTACCTGGCAGATTTCCAATTCAATTAGAAAATACCTGATGCAATAATGTACGGACATGTGACGAATGATAGAAAACGACGTCAATTATTTGAATATAATAATTAATAAACTTTCGCTTTCGGCTGATTATTGTTCCCTCGGAATAAAAAATAGCATAAATATGCATTTTTAAGGCAATATAACAGCTAAATTATTCTCACGCAGATGGTGTTTTCGAGAATTATTGAAACTCGCTTGAATGTGCCGACTGGCTCGAGGCTATTATATTAAAATTACAATAAAAATATCAGGAGGCGATTGGATCGATTTTATAGTATTTATACCACTCAAAAGTTTGAGAAGTCTTCATAGTTAGTCCCTCAAAACAAGTAACTCTTTGAACATGATCTAAACGAATAATTTTAAATGCAAAATTACACCACTGATGAACTTACTGAAAAGCAAAACAAACTTTCCGCACTTCAAAGTTATTTTTCATTTAAAATATAATGAAAAAAAATTATCTTAAATATTAAAATGTTTAAGTTTGTGAAAATTCAAACACACTTTGTTGTCCGGGCTTCCGGTTTATTTTAACTTAAATTAAACACAATGTGTTTCTTCAGATTTCTTAAGTTATTGGCTAAAATGAATATGTTTTATGTATGTGATACTCCCCAACTAGGTATTATTATGTGAATGATGATGATTTATAATTTTTGTTTAAAAGCTTGTATTGTTGTTTAACCATAAAACTTTTGACCCAAAATCGCAGTATTATTTTGTTGGATATAATGAAAAGTGTGTGCCTATTCTCACACATGGGCGTTCCTTTTAGAAAACATTCATAAAATTAACTATAAGATTCTATTGAAATATTAGTTTGGACAATTTATGATAAAGTAATAAGAATATGTACTACTTCAACAAATTAGTTCTAGTGTCAACAGTTAACATTTCTATCAATTTGTTAAACCAATTACTTTTAATATCGATAAGCCAAGATACCAATGTTATATATATATATATATATTTGTTATAAATAAACAACATCCTTAACCTTTTTCCTAGTCGTTCTACCCGAATTCCGTAAGACGTGATTTAAAAATGTATTTGTTTTTTTTTTTTTATCAACACTTTTTATAGTTTTCTTACATTAATTACGGTACCTCTAGACTCTGATACGGAGCACGTTAGTATCAGTGGGCACTACCACTAAACATTTTCAATCACTAGCACTAAACCAAAACGCGTCACTAATTATTCATCGGTACCTTTGGTAGATAATACAGGCAAGGGGAGAGAATTCACGCACTAAAAAACGACGCTAGAAAAACAACTAGATAACATACACGAGCGAAACACTCGACGAACGGAGTACGACAGCGGAACTCGACGGCCAACACCGACCGACTGTGAGGGTCGCTCGGATACTGACAGTACGAAGCGATCCCGGTAAAGTACGATGCTCCCCGGGGGAGGTGATTGGCGGGTAACACGACACGACGCAGCTAGGCAGTGAAGAGTACAGAAAATGATTCCTATCCGTATTCCAACGAACCACAGTATTTCCCTGACCGTCAAAACTCCTCATCTGCTAGGGATAACCTCCTATCAGACTAGTAACAGTTTTTGTTTTAATCGACAGTGCGATTATCTGGACAAAGCCATCACATCGACTTGCTGGCACAAACTTTCTAGGGAAAATCTTCAGCCATTAAATTTACAAAAAAAAATATCTTCAAGAAAATGTACTGAACACTTGTTTAATGAAATTTTAGTTGCTATTCCATAAAACCCTAGATCACAAATGCACAACAATCCTTCTAAATCGCTTAAAAACAATAAACAGATAAGCCTTTCTGCACAATAATATTGTGACTTCATAATGATGTTATATGAAAAGTAAAACGACAACTTAGTAGAAAGAATACATCTTTGCTTTAATGATATATTTAAATTACATTTAGTTAATTTTACTGTAAAATGTTTGATTAATATTTGTTATAAGTTTTATTACTGTATGAATCACACGTATAGGAAATATATAACAATTAATTATCAATTAGTACTTATGATAATTAATTATTAGAGTAAAAGGTGATTAAACGCATCTACTTGAATTACATTGAAAGAATTTTTATTAAAATGTAAAATGTTCTCAGTTGTGAACATTTTACTTTCATATATTATAGCTCGAATTCGCCTAAAAAATACACGTGTAAAAGGATTAAATGTATTTAAAAATAAATTGGATGGTTAGTTACTGTTTGTATACATGTACGAATGAGTACTTAAAATTACTTATGTAAAAGATTAAATAAAGATCGTTAAAAAAAGTGATCAAAAACTAGTAACCTCTTATCAAACAGCCGGCTTTTTTACAGCCATCTCATTTGTTGGAAGTTAATATATATTAATTTTATTATATAGCTGTTAAGTTATTATTGGACTTAATAAAGTAATACCAATAAACTACCATTAAAAAAACATTATATTTTTAAGACAAATATTTAAAGGAGAAATGGGTCAATTATGTTCTAGTAGAAGGTATTAGAATGTTTTATGACCAAAGTTTTTTGCAAGTAATATTAAGATGTATTCTGTAAATAAAAGTACACCACATGATCAAAATAATAATAATATTTTTATTTTAATATGTTCCTTTGATATCTACTTAAAAAAAATTAAGATTTCCACAACATATTCAACACACGATTTAACTTTTTTCAAAGATGTATCAAATAAATTCTCAGATAGCATTAAAACTGTTAATAATAATATAAGACTATATTATTAATTAATTATTAAGTAAACTTTTATACTATTACATAAAAATATATAAAAAAATAACACTTTTATCACATCTTAAGATAACAACGTAAACAAATAGTTATAAATATACAAGCAGTGATTACTTAAAAAGAGGAAACACTTAAGTGTTATTAGAGTTTTTGACGCTATTGCAAATGATAATTTTTTTAATTGCTTCTTTATAAAGTTAATTGCTTACAATATTCTATATTTAGGGATTCATTTAAGCGGTTTTTAAGAATTTTAATCCCGGATCGTTAAAAAGGTCCATACAGAAAAAAATACTTATTGAGTTAGTAAACTTAATACATAATAGTTTTCTGCAAGGCAGTTAGAATATTTTTGTAATATCAGTGCACAGTTTATTTTAAGTTAATTAATTTACAAGAATAGAAAGCAGATATTTTTTTTGTTTAAAAACGAAAATTGAATAAAAAAAAAATTAAGAATGAAAGATGAATTTTATCAATTAAAAAAATATATTTTATCTCATTCAGTAATAATAGAAAAAGTTATATATTATAAATTAATACTCGTTCACCTCGTTCTTTATAGATAAATACACCAACGTTCAATTCGACCATTTTGGTGCCCAGCATGAGTTGATCAAGTGTTTATGACAATTATTTATATTAATTTCACATTATACTTAACATTAATATAACAATGAAGTGATAGTGATAAAAGCTGTTTTATTAGTTGAAAGTATACCTTTTTTTTTCATTTACAAGACATGAGGAAAAATCTTTATGCATATCCTCTATGAAAATATCCAAATAATGTCAATGACCAAATATTTAATGAATAAAGTATTCATTATAGAGTTAACATTTAAAATGTATTATAATAAAATTTTAATGACGTTTACTTTGAAGGGATTTATTCTTTAACATTCTCTCTTTAAAGTACAATGTAAAGTATATGTACGGAATGATTTTCAAAATGTGCAATGGTTATTATGGAGATGTACATAAATTAAATTTACTTGTACATTTAGACATGTTAGTATGTTGTGCTTGAAGCGGACTAACACTGACGGCCTGTCAGACAGATGACCCTCTTCTTGCATTTCCATCACATGGACTACACTTTACAACTACAGAGACAGACTAGGAATGCAAACAGGACATTCATTATCAAAGTGTGATTATACTCTTTTGATAAACAGTCAACCTCTACTATTTAAGAGATTAGCTTACCTTAAACGACTAAACTTAATTATTCATTAGCAAGAGAACTGTTCCTAATAAATATCTAAGTAATTAATTATTATTTTATTTATTCGAGTGTTAATTATTGAGTTAGTACTACCTGGCGTTAATACTATTGTCAGCTCATATGTTAAATTAACAGTAACATAGCTATGGTTGTAAAACATATGTGATAAACCAACTTGACGTTATAAAACTTAATATTGTCTATTCATATTTATTAGTTTATTTAATTATAAGACTCTTGACAAATTATTATAATTAAAAATATAATTTAGTATCAAAAAATAAATAATAAAATATAATAACTATGAATAAAACTAGGGCATGTTGCGTGTACGCGCGGATGAAGTGAAACTTCTTTCAAAGTAATTCAACTGATGGAATATTAGGTTTGTATAATAATAAAATAAAAAATCTTTTTTCGTCACCCTAAGACTCGAACACGGGGTCCCGTGTGCTAAAACATACGTTTCTACTCACTAGACCAGGCCAACTTTATTGTTATTAAAAGGAAATACATTAAAAAAAATTAATATTTTAATATTGGAAATCGTATTATATGAATTGAAAATTGAAAATATTTATTTATATTTTTACAATAAATTACAAACAATTATGAAACGTAAACGTTTATCGAATGGACACATTAATGAAACGTACACGTTTATTGAACGATAATAACAATGACATTTTGACCATATACATAAAAGTACAATAGAATCCATTCGTGACAACCAAACATGACAGCCAAATGTATTTTATTCTTAATTTAGAATAATTTCATATACTGCTGTTCATCTAAAGTTAAAAACTCACCCTTTTTTATCCATAATTCAAAATTATATAACAAAGTAAAAAATATATGTATTGTTTTCAAAATAGTTTTGAACGAATTTAAGTGTATTTTAAATGAGTAAAAAAAAAATTTTGTCTCTTAACCTTAAAATAACTTAAAAACTAAAGAACAATAAAATCGATTGTTTTATTTTTTTTTTCAAATTGTTGCAACCCGAGAATGGGAATTAGGAAAAATACTATTTGATGTATTTTTTATGAGCTTTAAATCTATTTTATTATTTATTTATTTTTTGAAATTACAAAATTGACTAAGATAGCCATTTTAGTAAAAAAAGTCATTTTTATTTGTTAATATCCTATATAATATTGTAGATAAGAAAGAGAGATAATGTTTGTTTTTTTTTATACTCAAATTTTAGTAGTTTATTAGTTCAAAAAAAACATTAAAATAGACTTCTAAGCATAAAAAATCTATCTATGGTTTTGATAAATTCTATAATTTTTTTTTTTTGTTATGAAATATTATTTAATTCAACTTCGTCATTACTATATGTTGCAGCCTAGTTGACAACGTAATGTTGTTAGCGGTCGGCCATATACAGCTACGACACGAAGTTGTCAATTTTATCACATGGATGCTGATATCAGTGCCATCCGACCTTATTGTGTATATTTTAGAATTGTTATACGAATTTCGTCATAGATGTGGTAAAAAAAGCACTACAATTTCTAAGTAAAATTTTCAATTCGATTAAACAATCAAAGTTATATGTTTCGTGTGGTATATCTAGAAACCTTTGTGAATTTCCAAGTTTTTAATGTTGTAATTTCCGAATTAACGTGTTTTTTCTTTCACTCGAATGCAAAATGAAAATCATCCAATCGAATAAATGAACTGTAAAATCGAGGTTTTTAAGGTTTCTTATTATATCTAAATCGAATTTCAATTTTTTATATAAATTTGTGATATTTTGTAAAGTGTTCTATAATTATTTGTTTGCTATTTGTATATTATTACACAAATTAACTATATTAGCTGAGCCCAGTACACATAATTGTTATAGCTAAAAGTAATAAATTTATTACTATTTAAAATTTCTTATTGGTAAATTTTTGTCGTATAATTGTTATAGCTATATCTATAATACCTACTCAAGTAGGTATTTTTTATCCATAGTTTACAAGGTTATGAATAAAATCCTTTAATTTATAAGTTACATTGTTACCTAACCAACTCATTACTACCCCGATTAACGCAGACAAATTCTCAGTATTTGAAGTTCTTATGTTTGTGGTTAGCTAATTAATACAGTTCACTTACCTATCCAAACAAGCGATACACAGGTGCTGGAGTAACCCTTAGATTTACATTCACTGTACAATTAATATTTTCAGTTTATGTAATCCAAAAAAGTATAATTTGTTATTTAAAATAATATGTGGAAGATATTTAAATTAAAAGGGGGAAAAATGAACATTTTACAAAAAAAAAAAATTAAATTTTTGTCATATTTTGCTCATATAAACAAATAATTTTAAAATATTTTAAAGTCAACAAAATGTTTAAATTTTAAAAATATTTATATAATTAATTTTTATAATTATTATATTCGTTAAATGATTTATTATCAATCCTTATATATAATTTTTTTAAATATATCATCAACAGCTTAATTGAAATTTTATTTTAATATTATTTTAATAATTAATTAATGTTCAAGGAATCGTAAAAAATATTTTATGTCAGTTACAATTTTTATTTTTAAAAAACCTTGTGATACAATTTAAAGAACTTCTAATAACTTTATTCGATCGTATTAGACGTATTAAATAAATTTATTAAATATCTCATCAACATTTATTCAAGACAAATAATATTTTTTAATTTAACCATTTTTTTAATATTTAAAATGCCAAGATTTTATTATGCTGATAAGGTAATTTTTAAACAAGCGTTGCGTCATTATCTCAAAAGTGACAGTTATAGTTTTTTCCTTGAAGTATACGTTTTAAACTGTCACGATGTCATCAACTGTATTTTTTTAACTGTAAACTATAAACTTTCTTGAAGAACAAAACTTACACTTCCATTTTTTTGTTATGTTGTTCATATTATACAAAATGTATAAAGTCCGTAACAAGTATCTGCTTCTCTGCATTTATCTTTTCCTAATCTTAGAACTTCCATCATCAATAACATTAGTGACAAACTCATCTATATGTCTTTATACTTTTTAAATCAATCATGAATACCTTTGAATTTTGAATTAGGTGATGGTAAAAGACAAAAAATGATGAAATGATAATAAAACTTTTATATACTTAAACTTTATCTAATTAATAAATGCAGTGAGTAGCTCAGAAGTAATTAAATAACTTCGATATTAGTATAGTATAAGTTTTTAACATAGTATTAAACAATTTTTAAATTCTTAAGTAATATAATAATTTCATATAAAGGGAATATACAGAGTAAGCAAATTAACAATGGTTGAAAAAAGTAAGGAAAATACAAATATAAATATAATATAAAGGAAAACAAAAAAATTAATGGAGGTTTGACGTTTTGACTAAGAAACGTCTAGTAACGAATCAGGACGTTTGGTGCGTGAAACTTTGTATTTTGAACGGCTTAATTTGAATTGTGTTATATTGTTAAATTGTATTTTGATTTTGTGTTTATTACATTTCGCAAATAAAAACCTGCACTTAGTGTAAATACTTTATATCCACCATGTTATTAAAATTGTGTGTGTGTGTGTGCGGCTAGAGTCAAGGTTGGACTGCTGGTCCTTTAGTCGATCTTAACAATTAGTGTGCGTGCTGGCTAGTTTTTGGACTTAACCGTTCTTTAGTAGGTATAGTGAAAAGGTAGTTGTGCTGTTGGCTGACGAGGAGACACCCTTCAGTCTGTAACTTTTAGAGCTAGACCGTGCTGACAGGTCTAAAACCTATCCCTTTAGTGGTTCACTAATTGAAGGAATTGGGGCTGACCCGTGTACCCAATGGGAGGACTCGAAAAGAACCAAATATGACGAACTTGTCGTTAAAAGTATTAATTAATTTGTGTACTTTTTATGTGTCTACGTCGGGGTACTGCCGACGTATGACATATATATGAATAAATGTGAACATTATTTTCGAGTATTTGTTTAAGTAACACTTCAGTTGGTTCTATTGAAAAATATTTTGATAAATACTTGAAATTACATTTGTACAAACAAATACTAATTATTATAATAGTGACAGATATGAACCTATATTGCCTATATAAAACGCCGTCTGTAAAGAGTTTTGATAGTAAAATAATAATAGTAACCATATTTGTATGCTTTCAAACTAAATTAAATTCATAACTGAAATTTAATTATATATTTTTTAACTTCGATGCGTAGCTGAGAAGCTATTGGTTTTACCATTTTTTTATGACTATCCATGANTATGCTTTCAAACTAAATTAAATTCATAACTGAAATTTAATTATATATTTTTTAACTTCGATGCGTAGCTGAGAAGCTATTGGTTTTACCATTTTTTTATGACTGTCCATGATAATTCTCAGATTAATGGATCGATTTTGTTAGTTATGCGTCAAAAGAACTCGATTTTAATCTAGTTGAACCTATCAGTACCAAAATATTGAAAAAGTTTCCTAAATATTAAAATTTAAAAAAATATTTCAAAACTGTAGAAAAAAATTCGTTTCCAAAATTTTTTTTCTACATTTTAAAATTGTTAGAAAATTTTTTTTTTTAATCATTTATTTTAATTAAAATTTAACCAAATAAACTAGAGAGGTTAAACTTTCTTTTTATATGTCTTTTAAGAAAATTCAGTGGTTAATCAATATATAAAAATAAAACAACCCACGCAAGTAAAAAAACCTCAAAATGTCTGACAACTTTTATAATAAAATTAATTTCTTGAATTTTAATACAATTAAAAAAATATATTCATCACACTATGTTCTTCTATAAAAAATCAGCTGTCAAAGTAAAAAAATTCGCAATTTTTCCGAGACGTCTGACAATCTGAAACCTATATCAAACCAAAGCTATTAAAGCATACTAAATATTTAAAAAAAAATCTAGACAATTTTTCTACCATAAATAATCGGCCGTCAAATCAGAAAAAATTGAAGAAAAAATTCTTCAATAAGATTACTTTATATTAAATTAGGCAAAAAACATATGGAAACATAGAATTTATTAAATTACAAATATACAAAGTGTCGTCATTTTAACAGATTGGCATTGGAGCGTCTTTATGATAGTCATGTTAATCACTGTTAGATATCATCTATACTTGTGTCCCAACTATGTCGCGACCTAATTTTGCTGGGATTTTTATGTATCACTGCACATGATTACTCTACTCCTATTAGACTGCAGTCTTATATTAATTACTTAATGGCAGGTAAGAGTAATAAAATAATTTATGAATGAACTTTAGTATAGTTTAATTTATTATTTAAAAATTCCTTTAATTTTTTTTTGCTTAAAAGAAAATCATCATAATTATCACAAGTTACATGATTTTTATTCTAAAAGGCTAATTACTCGTAGATGACAAATAACAGGAACGCTTTTTTTAAACCGTATAGAGCATAAAAATTGTTCAATTTGATAAAATGATTAAAAAATATAGGTTTTTTGGAATATTTTTTGAAATAGAAATGAAAAAATGTTTTATTACTAAGCCTCTATAGTATCTTGCTAAAAGATAATATTTTCGAACAAATATCGTCGTCAGCAAGGCAAATATAATCAAAAAGATTTCGTAATAAACCGTCCAGTTTTTAAAAAATCATTTCAATATAAAGTGAAAACAAAAAATATCAACATTGACATTTTATAATAACTGTACATTTCCCTTTATTACGAGGATTAAGGCAAATTTTCCAAAATTATGGCACTAGTAGCTTCAACTAGATACGTTCTTTATAATCTTTTGACATATCGTGATATGTGTAGTATCACTTAAAATTAAAACTATATTAAAAATATTATTAATTTAAAACACAAAAAAATATTAAAATCAAATAGCCACAAAAAATTACTGAAAAATCGCGGATACGTATTTCTGAAACAATGTTACTATTATCAACGCTAAATAAATACTGAACTAATATATAATACTACTAAACATATACCTCTAATGACCGACCTTATCACCTAGCGACGTTATCACTAAGTAATATATTATATTGACAGTTTACACAAGTTAATAATAAATTTTCCAGTGGGCCAAATCCCAATTAATTAAATTGTTTTTATATTTAAACATTTCTATTGCCTACCTTATATTAAGTTCTTTGTAAATATTTACGTTTTTAATTAGTTTTGTGGTTTTAATGGAGTGATTATGTGTCAATAAATGTTCAGCCACTAGAGATTTCTCAACTTATTGATTTTTAATATTTCTCAAGTTCTCTATCACAAAAAAAGACATAGCAGAGTTATACCAATAGATTCTTAGCTACACATATAGCTAAAATTAATTTTTTTATTGTAATAGTAATATATCTTTAAATATAAAACATTTTAAGTAATTTAATAAAAAATGTTTGATAGTTTATTATTTTATTTTATTAGTATAAATAAGAAATTTACCCATCACTATTCAACAATTAAATGATAAAAGGATAAAAAAAAGAATAAGTAATTTAAAAAAAATGTATTGTGACAACGAATTATCACAAAAAATCCTTCTTGTAGTAAAATTTATTTGTATAATACTTCTTATTTTATTTAATCAGTACTTATTTTTATCAATTATATTATTATAGTTAAAAATTTTTATGCTATTTAAAGTAATCTGGATACATTTTTTGAAGTTTAAATAACAAAAATTCCCTTATTTTTTATTTCAACTTGCATAAACTTGTATTTTCTTATTACAAACTGTTCTCGTTAAATAAAAATACTAATAATTTCAATTACAATAAAAATTACATTTTTCAACTAAATATATTAGAAAACTAGGATAAAACCAGTGAGTGAACGGCTCTGAGTTTTTTTAACTTCAGCATCTTCTAATCCAATTATAACAAGTTGTTGCTAGTAGTTTTTATAACAAAGTTAAGTCCTATTGTAATATTACAATTTTAAATGCAATAGCCTTAGCCTTTCATTTACCGAGATATTTAAATTTTCAACGTTTAATAATAAATTTCATTGTTTGTACTAGTATATTAATTATAAATATTAAAAATTTTAATTAAATTTATATTGTAAATTTTAAGTATAGTATAAATTATAGAATCATAATAATGTGTTAACTGACTATTACTATACAAATAAAAAACAATTTTGAATACACAACGTAGTTTTAAAAATCAATTTATTTTGTCTGAAACCATATAATTTTTTTTAAGGCATTCAAACACAGTTAGTAATCAATATTTTTAAAACTACAAGATCAAAATCATTATTTTACTTAATGCAGTAATATTATTACGTAAGTTTTACTTGCGTCCTTTGAAGTAAATTGTAATAATTTTGACATAAGACTTTGAACTCGTCTGAAATCTGTCATCATAGTTATCATCATTAAATTAATGTCTAATTCGATATGCAAATTATATATCAGGATAAAATGCAGTATCTTGGAATATTGTTAAAGTTTCACCCGTCAGTTTGTCCATAGAAGATACCATACATCTGTATAAACCTCTGTCTAAAGGGGTCACATCGTGTAAATGTAACGTGCTTCCTTTGGGTCTCAGGTGCATATCGTACGTTTGTACTTCTCCTAAGCGTCTGAGCGCAAACTCCTTGTCGGCTTTGCCTGGATCGACTCGCTCCCACACAATATTCTACAAAATTATATTCATAATAAAAATATTTTCAAAAATCCATTTTAAATTTTATTTTACAGGCAAACGGCTTAAAACGTATATAAATCTAGTTCACATTTAAATTTATTTAAGGATTTAAGTATTTATATAATTATGAGTTTTATATTAAATAGTTACACGAATTTTTTAAATAAATTTTTAGGGTCATTTTTTTTACGGTGAAAGTTTCAATACGTTGATGTATTGAGTGTATCGTTTAATCCAAGGGAAGCAATGCAATGAAATTTTACATGCCTACTCGTTCGTGTTTTAGTAGATGCACTTAAAAACATGATCAAAGATGACACAGTCTGAATCAAATCACTAGCGACATAATTGACACTACCACTCAAATACTTCTTATATGTTCTTGAACATATAAATTTTTCGTCATCCCGATATTCATAATTAAATAACAGACAAAAATTTCCTAACCTGAAGTGTATCACTATTAACTCAGGTAAAATTATAGTGCTTCTTTTTTATGAAAAATAGAATCACTAAATTCAAAATCAATTTTAATTAGAGAGATTTTATTAAACTTTTGTTGGCAATATAACACATTGATTTAAGGTTTTTACAATTCGCCTATAGTTAATATAATATAGGTAATATAAATAATAAAAAAGAACGATCTTATAATTTCTCATTGACTTAAAAAAATCTATATTAATTGTTAACTCATTTTTCAGTGGATACAACAATTTAAGTACTTACAGATATTACTCGGACGGTGGTCGGAAATTCGCAGTTAATCTCAGCTCCCGTGGGAGGCACAAGTTTGTACCAACCACTTCCCATTCGCAATCTTCGTTTTTTATTATTGTTCAAAGTTACGTCCATTCGATTATAAAATCCCCACCTACAAATTCACACTATAATAGATTCTTCGTTTATTATAGTTTTCTCAATAAATCTGTTAGTTTTTAAAAATCATTTCATTCTTCAGACATCAACTATAATTTTGAACTCAATTTTTACAATTATTTATAATGAATAATATATTGATAAATATGTGTCATTACAAATCGTTTAAAATACATATTGAAAATATACGTTTAGAAATTTACATTTTATTTAGTTTATTACAATTGAAATACTCGTGAGTACATAATGAAATACGTAAAGTTCTCGAGCTGAGAGTTTCAAAAAGAAATTTGGAAATTTTCACATCAGTAGAAACTGAATCGAAAAAGACACTATGGAATCATATANTTTCGAGCTGAGAGTTTCAAAAAGAAATTTGGAAATTTTCACATCAGTAGAAACTGAATCGAAAAAGACACTATGGAATCATATAAGTGTATAAAACTCACTTGTTGTATGGAATTCCCTTTTCAAAGTTTTCTCGCGTCGATGCCAACTTTTCGAAGTACCGTATGCCATACCTTCAACAAAAACAATAAAATTACAGAATTCGTCTACTACTCTAACATTCGAACAGAATGTGTAGTTTCTACTTGATTTTTGTTTTTATGGTATTCATTTACACACTAAATTATTAACGAAGAGACTCTTTAAACAAACAATGATACTTTCAACAGGTTGGGGCTCTAATGCTTTACTCTTTTTTAGATTATTTAATATAGTAATATAATTATTCGGATAAATTAAAACAAATAGATGTATATTTGATATCCTCATTATATATATATATTTTTTTTTTATGAAAATTCGCTACTGTTCATATAGGTTGAACATAATATAGTGATAGTAAGTTAAGTGACAAGTTTCTATTGTTCTCATTTTTTGTAACAATTTACCTGTTTCCATGCTAACTGAACACTCTGTATAATATACACTCTCTTGAAGTCCATCTCTATTCGAAATAAATTTCTGTTTAAAACCATTTTGATTCAACGAAAATGATTAATTTTCTGATCTTTTCTTAAGTGGAAAACAATAACATACATTAATTATCACAAAAAAATTACTATAGTCTACTACAATTGTCAAATAAAGACAATTCTAAATTCAACTTACGTAATTTATTTAAAAATCTTCTTTTAACGAGTTTTATAAAATACACGTAGCAATTTATTAACTCAATCATGATCTTTTTTTTGCAAAATTTAACCCAAGTAATATTTAAAATGTTAAGCGCATTTCGCATTGACGACTTCGTCATAAATGATGCGAAATATCAAAATTTATAATTTTTCACGAACATTTAATAAAAAAAAATGTGATAATAAATAATACTAAGAATCTTTTGTCAACATCAATGTATGTGCATAGAAATTCAATTTAATATTCGACTTGGGAGCGTGAAAACTGAATAAAATTTAATAAAAACACAATATACACAGTATTTGGATTTTGGTGTACCGACACAATGTTATATGTGTACCAAGTTAATAGTATTCTTTGCATACAATGAAATATATGAAGTATACATAAGTGGGATGATCTAAGCGCCGAATAATATGATTGATTTAGTCTTGCATCACAGAAACCTTTCAGAGTCTATCATTTCACTAATGGAAAGTATATTTCTTCAAAATCTAATACGCATATATATGTTTACCAATGCTACTATATTATAGTTTAATTAATACTCAATTTAGTAAGCAAAAACTCACGCATGCTGTCCCGGATAATATTGCTGCCATGTCGGCCTAAGTACTTCGGTGATTACACTAGTAGTATGCAGCAGACTAACAGCTGCTAGAACAGCAGCGCATAAAAAATGTATCATTTTTATCGTTTAAAACCCTGTTCCGTTAATCGCGTCGATTGATCGCCGGATATCGGAACCGGAAATAAATGTGCAGTACAGCGAATGATAACATAAGCAGATGATGGCGGTGGCGAACGAACGAGATCTGCGAAAGATTCGCACCGTGTCCTGATGATTTATATAGAAATGGTAAAATNCCGTTAATCGCGTCGATTGATCGCCGGATATCGGAACCGGAAATATATGTGCAGTACAGCGAATGATAACACAGAGCAGATGATGGCGGTGGCGAACGAACGAGATCTGCGAAAGATTCGCACCGTGTCCTGATGATTTATATAGAAATGGTAAAATTAACCATGTTCACGTTGGCTTGTCATCTTCTTTAGTACGTTTTTTTCTGTTCGTCAATTTCCACTGATGCCTCTGTGACCTTCCCGCCAAGGACCAATAGACTGCCAACAAAAATTGTACCTCTAGTGGCCGTCGTCAAATCCGGAAAACAGGTTAATCCTTGAATCGGTGCCCGTAAGAGTTTCGTAATGACATAATTTCCAGTCGTTTTGCATGGAAACCGCACAGAACATAATATAAACAGCTCGTCGCATCCAGTCGAGGTCAAAGCAACTTGGAATGACATCTTCTTTGCGTCAACCTCTTTGTCGTCAAGGAACGGTAGAGTTACTTTGCAACCATACATTATAATAAGTTATTGTTTCATTCTAATTGCTTAAAAATATTGCCAAGAGATGTTACAACGCAGAAAAACGTAAGTAATGATAATAACAATAAGTCTCGTTGCTTCATTAGCCGTCACCCCGACGGTCGTTTATCGTAGAAACTTTTCTTAGACTGAAACAAGAATTATACTGAAGTCGTATTTCATCGGTCGCTCTGGCCATTATTTCCTGTGTTCATTAAACACGCTGTCAGTCTTGATGAAAAACGGGCAACACTTCTGTCATACAATGTGTTGGTGGTACCTTTGGCCTTAAAATTTAATCAAATGACGAAAAGCTTTAACAGCGCTGTATATATATAAGAAATAACCAAATAACGTCTTTTAGTACTTCTATTGTTTTATAAACGATTTATAAAACAATACCGTGAACGTTCACATTATTTTCGAGTATAAAATGTACTTTAAAATAATTCACGTTTCTAAACACGTGAGTGTTGCTGAATGTATAAACACTATGAAAATATATAAAAATTTAGATATATTTATTTTAAAAAAATGGTTATAACTATACTAATATGTCGTGTTTGTGTTCTAATGTGTCCACAATAAACATTTATACTACATAAATATAAATGTATTCGCGCACCGCTAAAAAATGATAAGAGGTGTAAACTACCGATTAGCTGTCAATCAATTAGGTACGGATAATTGCCATGAAAAATAAGGCTTTTCTTCTAAGGTCAATGCCATAAAAAAAGTGTATTATTCTATCGGCAGGGAAAATTTTATTAAACAGTTAAAAAAAACAATCGAATATTTAATGAATTATGTAGATGTTATTTTACAGTCTATTTGAGGTTCCTTAAAGGTTAATCAGATAGTTATTTATTTATCACTAGTGTTTTACCCAAACAATTTTTTAATGATATATAATTAATTAAATTTATTACCTTTTTACATGACAATGTTTTTATTTTTTTAATAATGATTGCCAAAGCAGTACATATGACACCTAGACACTTATGACAATATAACAACATAATTACACAATTTTCTTTAGCTATGCAAATATTTCCTAATAAAATATGTCGTCCATTTTGTTTAGAACTAATTTTCGCGGTAATTCACGCGCAATATTAAGTAAAAACATACTACTCAGACTATTCTGTCCTTAAATTAAAATAGTCAGAATATTAATGATCATAGTACATCTAGTAGTACTAATGTCTTCACTGTTGGCTGCATACGACATGCATTAATTTGCATGCGACGCTATCTCACGAGTTATTAGGATTTCCGCACGTTTTTAGACTATGTCGTCAAACTCAAGGTTCTTGAACGTTTCCGTCGTTAACCGGATGAAGGCCCATGTAAATCAACCTAGAGCATAACTAAATAATACCTAATAATGATACTAATTCTTGGAAAATACCTACGAACCATTTAATTTAACTTATTGTTAAGTTCCGCCAATTAAAAGATAATTCAATTTTGATTATTCCCTATAATAATTAACTAGAGCTCAAATAATAAAGTAAAAATAATGTTTTACCGAATCAGAAACTTTTGTAGCGTCAATGCGTGGGAGATGTATTAAATATTGGTTTTCATGAAAAATAAATAGGAATGATTAAGGATCACAAGGTGCTTTTCTTTAAATCCTACACAACGTAATATTACCATTAAATTTTTAAATTCCTATCAATCTATCAATGACAACATTATTAATCGATTGTACAGTATTGGTGCACCCTTAAATTATGCTTAAATTAGAAATGTATAAATTAAGTACAAACCCCAATGTTTTAAATTGTATATTTTCTAAGTACGCTATTACTTACATGTCATAACCACGTGTCCCATTAGAGCTGAATTTCTCAAACAAAGAGCTATTTATGTTATGAAATTAAATATTTTATATTAAATAACTACGTTTTATCATAAATTACTACAATATCTAAATCTGATATCGTTGTTCGCAAACAACTTTCGTACGAAAATTTTATATTAAAAACTAAATTGAGTGTATCAAATATAAATAAATAGTAGATGTTTTGACCTTTACACGAGTTTCATCGCTACGACCCAATAATCTGTAATGAAATATAAGTTATGGCAAAAAGGTTTAATGCATTAATATCATTTATCATAGTGCATATGATGCAACCATTATAACATAGTTAAATATACATTCTGGATCATTTTAGTGATTCAATAAACTCAAACGCATCTATTTGTATACAATAACAAAACCCTAAGGAATTTTTTTCATATTTTCCATTCAATATTTTGCTCAAAATAAACTACAACGTCCAAAAATTTTATAGTCGACCTTTTATATTCACCTCTAATAAAGTTTATAATATAAATTTTACTCGCTAATAATTAAAGTAAGAATTCAAAATAACTATTATTTAATTACTTGCTTTATTCAACACTATTAATTTTATTTTTACTGACTTATATCTCCATTGATTCTCAGATAAGTCAACATTTATTCGTGTAATTATACAAATTAACGAATAAATTATAAATTTTGTAAGAAAAATATTTGCTGTTACATTTTTATTATGATACAGAATTATAAATATTTATTTATGCATTTTTTTATATTTTATTATACTTTTAATAATTTTCGCATTAATGCTCAACAATAACATTACTTGATTATTTCTAGGCTACTGCGTTAAGGTCATTATCTTATAGGGAATCTGATGTAGTCTTCGCTAAGGATTTCAAGATGTTTCGCTGTCACCCTTAAAGAATCGAGCAATGAAAGTTGAAGTTTAGCAGAAAATGAATCAATTTCAATGGTCCACTGCACTATACAATTACTTCTTTTTATGTGTACTTGTCATTGTTAACTTTTGCATTATTATAAAAGAAAAATAAACTTCCAGACAAAAAAATATTAAATTATTTAAGGCAATTTTATTCTTATAGTTTCTACATAAACTAAAGTTAAACTGAAAATAATCTAATTTATTCATAGAAACTATAAGTTACTTATTCTATGATGATCCAACCAAGTTAAGTTCTCATTTTTTATGAATAAATAAATTATTAAATGAATAATTATTCTACGTTGTAGATGTTCTATCTCAATTAATTAGATTAACTGCTGACAAACATTATATAAAAGAACTTTTAAACTACTCGGGCAAAATTACTTAATTCTAAAAATAACTTCTGTGATGTGCTTAATGCACAGGAAATTATTGTCGCTATACAATACTATACATTTCAATAGAGCTTTGAATGTGTTATTTGAATCAAATAATTTTTAAGAATTTAGGATCATTTACGTTAACTCTATTAATTGTATGCTTTTTAAGTAAATATCATATTGTCAAGACTTTATGGTAGTATAAGTAATTATATTTGTGTAATGAGCTGTATTTTATTAATTATTTTATTATAAATTAAGTTAAATTTGATTTATGTGTGGAGAGCACGTGTTTCCCTTTTCCTTCTAGCCAACGCTAAGGAGCGAGTGTCCAAACCGCTCCTGGTGTTTTTCATTAATTTCCGATTAACATTAACGGATTTGTTCCAATACCGTCCGTGATGTTTGTAATATTATTTTTTTTGTTTAAATATTTTATTTTATTTTTGTTGCCTCTATTTTCAGACATGGTTTTTAATATACACTCGTATTTTTGTTCATGTTTAACTTAATTTTCTTTTTTAACAATTAAATTAAATTTCCTTTATTAATTTTAACTGTAATATTTATTTTATTGCGCGAATAACTTAAGTACTCTCGTGTATTTTATCCCTGTTGCTTAATCTAGACACGAGCTACGGTATGTTTTACTTATCAACCACATACAACTTCAATTATCATAGTTGTGGTTAATAAACCACGAGGTATTATAATCATTTTATACATATAACGACATATCAACTTAAATTACACTTTTAATTAACTTAAAATTAAATTCCACCTATGATCCGGTAATTATATCTGATAGTTGTGACACCTCGCCTAGGTGGTAGGGACCCTTGTTACTATATCTAGTCGTTATGCAAGTGGCAAACCACGTTGTTATTGCAGGCCGACAAAAAGCCCACTTGCAGTAAGTCACATAAAAGAAATAATTAATAGTAGTTATCACAAAAAAAATATTATCTTCCATACATTTTTCAAAAAGTTATAGTATTATAAAGTTAAAAATATAAAAAATAATTTGTTTACAAAAATCATATTTTTTTATTAAGTTTGATGTCCGTTTTCACCATGAAAACAAACTAAAGCCCGAAATTTTTTTTTCATATTAAAGTATATTACATGAGCTTCAATTTAAGATATATTTCTTATAGAAAAATTGTATTGATCCATACATTTTTCGAAAAGTTATATAAATATAAAGTTAAATATGTAAAATATAAAATCGAGAATTTTTACACAAAAATAGCATTTGGTAGCCATTTTCACCGTGAATACAAAATAAAGTTTGAAATTTTTTTTCCATAA